ATTCATTACAATGCCTACTCAACGACGAGGTCCACTTAACTCCTGACTCCTTTTGTACAGCGTAGCAATTATAGTTACTCCATTTTTATAAATTAATTGTTGTTAATTTATTTACTTTTATGATCAGTTTTCATGATTTGAGTCTTGAGTATCTTGTCTATTTTAATTTGATTTTAACCAGTGTAAAATTCAGAGAAGAAAATACCTATGAATTTTAATTAAATTTATAATTATATAACATATTTTAATGCACGTTAATTCATAGACTATATACTTAATAATGAATCCAAATTATTAAAAATTTTGAATACCACAGGATACATATTGTATAGTATATACTAGGTCCTATGTAAATATTTAGGACCTTATTCTAACTACACTATCTACTGCAGTACTATGACGTTGTATGGGTGTTAAAAATCGATGGCGGGTAGGGCACAGGCTACACTGTATAATGTTATATATATACAATAATAGTCGTATATATAGTATACGATGTACTATATATTATATAATACTAGTGCCAACCCACCGCAACGTTTTCTAAGTGTACTTTTCAAGTAGCCTGGCTGTTGCTTTATAATTATATGGTGTTGATGTGACAATACTAAAATAATATTGGTATAAAAACTTGACTAAACACTATTTTCGAATTTTTCATACGGCTAGAATATAAATTTATTGAAGTCTTAATTTTTAATATTTTTTTGGAATATTTACTATTAGGTCTGGACTCTAGAGATGTTTTTTAAAAATATTTTATTATGGCATTTAGGTACAGTATTTCAAATATGTTAATAAAATAACAAGAGCTCTTAAACAGATAAAAAATATCAATAACAGTTTGGTTTTGGTAATTACGTAAATATTTTATTCATTTTCACATTTCACACTAGGTATTTATTTTATAAATTATGTGCTACTATAGTACATTTAAAACAGCGGCGGTGCTAATAACGAAAAACATACATATAGGTGATTGATATGCGTCTGCTATTTTACCTACGCCCTTGTCTCGAAATCTTTACGGAACGTTTCATCAAACCAGAAGTTGTGAGGCCTACAAATAAATATTACTTGGCACTATATTGCGTTCAAATGTTATCGCACTGCATAACACTTAAATCACTCACAGCGTCACAGGTCTGCGAAAATAATTTTCATGAAAATCGAACGGCGTAGCTGACATGGGAAAATAACGATCACCATTTTTCATTGAGACAGACTGACTAACGATCAACAGAGAATATAGCAGTTACTTGTTACGAATTAACCAGGGGCGGCTCATTAGGGAAGACTTTGATACTACGGTTCTCTTTAAAAAAATAGTTACTTGTAAATAATAATTAAATAAAAATGTATAGAAATATTTTTATTTGAATTGAAAATAAATTATATCGTTTTTTTTTTTTTTTTTGTTTTGTTTTATTATTATTGAAGGCCACAAAATCTAAAACTTATAAATAGTTATTTCGATGGAAATATTATTTTAGTTATTTCAACGATAGTCTACATTTCAGTGAAACTTTCCCCCGACAGTTTAAAATTTCAATCGTAACATGTAATAGTATGGCTGGTTGGATGGAGGGGCCGGGAAGAATAAGCCGAGTATTATAGATGCTATTGAAATTGGGTTCACGACAATATTTGCTATACCGCTGTGCAATTGTTTGTCGCTGTATGCTGTCATAATTAATTACATTCATTGTTTAATAATTATTATAGGTTTATACTATCTGATATTTATTATTTTCGACATTTTAATATTTGCAGTTATTTTCAAAATGCAAAAAGATCAAGTAATAGACTTTTTATTGAGCACTGGTTTTAATGTTTTAACGTATGCACAAAAAATCTACAATTGAAACTTAATCGCCTAACTCCTCATTTAATATTATAAATATGATCTCAGAATTGAATTAGTTTATAAAAAACTTTAATTCATTGTATCATTAAACAATATAAATGTATGTATGTAGAATTATTTAGATAATTAAGTATTAAGTATAATTAATTTTCCAATGAAAGGGTTTTTCTTGTGCATTGTCGTATAGAGTTTATGTCACAGAATTAATTAAGTCTACCCAGAATATTTACTCACGAGCTGCTACTGGAATTAAGTTGGGTTCATAGCTATAATATATAACGTATACATCGTTTATCGTGTCGTGGAAAAAAGTTGAGCTCGGCCTAATTCTGGAAATTTTCTAGTAGATCATGATCAGCGAATGATATCAATGATATTATGATTAGAACAATCAATCTGCAGTCAACAAAATACGATAAAAGATAAACGACATGACTATGGCGACGTAAACTACATTTGATAGGGTTGTTGATGGTCAATGATTTATTCGACTGCGGTATAAATTTGGTGACCGTGATCACATTGTTTACGATGGTATACCTGAGAGTGGGTAATCGCAATAATTTCCGTCGTTAAACAGTGAATCTTAGGAAATGTAGTCATCACTACAGGCAATTTTCTTCGCGTTTGTCGTACCATTTTTCCGTTCGATTTCAACAGAAATGTACGCGTCCGTTGTTCAAAAATGTGTATAAAAGTGATGTAGCGTGTGCAGAGCGATGATAATGTTCGAGCTGAGTTAATTTTGTATATTATGAACTTATATTTACGATTCTCATTGTTTCTGTTTCGATAAAATGTTTCATCCGTTTAACGAAGATTACCATTCGAATACCATAAAGAATCAGGTAACAAGCGCATCTACCTAATACTTATATTTTTTATACCATTAAGTTATATTTACATATTTATTAGTTATGGTTATTCTTAAACTTATACGTTTGTTCTTGATGTTTTATAGAATTTATAATATTTTTGGTAGGTACCTACTAAATAGTGAACATCATTACTTAAGAGGACGCTACACAGACATTTGCTGTCTCCGTCTTACAAGTGCGTAACATGAAAATTTACGTTCAGCAAATTAGGTTTAGCTTCATTAGCTTAAAAATTAAAGTCAATCGACCTAAAATGAAATTTTATGGTTAAAATATTTTCTATATTTGTATGTGGGTTTTTACGATAATCCAATTTTTAGCAAGTTTGGCGTATGTAAAGTATAGCAAATTAAAAATGCTCATGGCTCACTTAAAAAATTGAATAATCGTAAAAACCCACATACAAACATAAAAAATGTTCTTACCATTAAGTTTCATTGTAGGTCGATTGACTCTAATTTTTGAGGTAATGAAGCTAAACCTAATCTGCTGAACGTAAATTTGCTATGTTACGCACTTGTGAGAGTAATACGGAGACAACAAATGTCTGTGTAGCGTCCTCTTGAAGTATGCATAATATGCTACATCTTTATACTGTTTATATTTAAATGTTCTGAATATAACGATATTAAAACAGTCTTGTCATCTAGGTATAAATTTTCGAGAATGTGTCGTTTATAAAATAAAATATAATTTAACTATTAAAAGAAAGTGAGCGTGTATTTAATTCAATGATAAAATGTCTACGTTAAATACAAAGAATTATATTATATAATCGCAGTAATATCAATATGGTTGTTGTACAAAAAATCACAGTTATGTTAGTACTGGCGAGACCAGTTGCTAATTATTTCCATGTATTTTTCATTTTATGTTATTTTTAAGAGGTAAAGGATATTGTACGAATTTAAAAATTAGGTTTGCATGTTTACAGGCGTCCTTTACATTTCACAAAAAAAAAAAAGGTTGGCAAATGGGTACTGCTCTGCTGTACATTAGATATCAAATAGTTCACTATTATAGATGTATAAATTTGAATTTAAATGATTCACTTATCATTATTTCTGAGCAAAGACGATGTGTCAGCATGAATTACAAACTATATTATGAATTGTTTGATATACATAACAGAAAACTATTAAAGTAATTTATTTTATACCATATTATATCAGATTATATATATATAAAATAGACATAATTGTAAAATACATTTCGCTCTGCTCAGAATCTAAAATTTTGAAAAAGTCAATTTAACTTTTGAAGAAGGTTGGAATAAATTATTCCTGCAAACGTTTTCGTGTAGTTTTAATTTTATGCTATTTTAAAAAAGAAGGAATGTGATGCAATTTCAAAACTAAGCTTGAATGTTGTGCTGTTTATTTGCAAAAAAAAATATTTAAATAAAGTAAATGTTTGTTATCGGAGGGTGCTGGGCATGTTATATCTACTAGTGTGAAAATTACAATATCCTAGAAATTAGGTATTAAAGTATTACCATACTTGTTTTTAATTTTCACTTGTATTTCTACGTGTATAATACGCAATACTTTATAAAATATCAAATATTTATATATTAATCTTTTGTATAACTGCTACTTATAGAGAGTCAATAAAGTGAGTGTAAATTATAATATTATTTTATATCAATTTGTTTTTCAACAACTGTTATCTAAAAACTTAGGAAATTCATACAAACGTCAAACAATAGTATTATTTATGCATTTTTATTTTAATAATTTATATGATATTTAAAAAAAAATATGAGTATTAATTAATTTGCAGTCCATTTTCCGGGAAATGTATTGTATATGTACTACCATTGAGTATATACTCAATGGTACTACACACGCTTTTAATAATTATTAAAATATATATGGGCTGTATGGATATATGGTATAGGTACATGTTAAAAAAATATTTATTAATATATATATACTATATTCATAACTTTTATAAGTATAGTTTACGATGCAGACTACTAAATTGTTTGCTTTTTTTAATGAATTCATGAATTTTAATGTTATAATTTTTAAGTTTAAATAAAGAAATATAGCATAATATCATTCCTATATAATATTAATTTTTATTTAAAACTAAAAATACTCATACAAGATGAATACATTTAATATTAAATATGATTATTAAATGTTGATTTGGCCTTTTTCTATATAAATTGACAATAGTAGTATTGTATAATTAATGAATAGATGTATATAATAAATAATCACTAAAACTATTTTATTAGACAACAATCGCTTAATTTTATTTAATAAAACAATAATAGTTGAGTAAATTGTTTTATAACCATCAGTCGTTTCACATATGGCTTATTATTTCTGGACTAACGTTTGATACATCCGATTGCTGCACAACCACATCTTCTTCGTCATTTGGATACAACTTTTCTGATCTATGATTATCATCTTGTTTGTTAGATGATTCATCTGTAAAAAAAAAAAAACAAAAACAATTTATGCATGACCTTCTCTACCATATGGCCGGTATAAGGTCATTTCAGGTATTTACTTTTCTTCAATGACTTAGCACTAGACGACCGATTGGGTTTTGATGAACGAGTAGTATTACTACTACTAGCACCAGCTGAATTTGACTTATTGCTAAAAATAGATCGCTTCATTTTTGCTGTGCCAGATTCGTTTTGAATAAACATTTCAGTAGAGCTAATAGCGGTAGTGGTGGTTGTTACGTTTTCGTTTAAATTCTTATCATACTCTTTAGATTTGGCCCGGAAAAGTGGTGATCGCGATTTGACCGATGGCATTGATTCTGTTTGTATTTTTGTCGGTAATGTCGGGGCGACTTTATTTCGGAATGCAGTTGGCTCAGATTGTGGTTGAAGATCAGGTGGTTCGTACTCCTCATCAGATTCACTTCTGAGTGGTATAATATATGATGTACTCCCCATTTCAGTTGTTAGGTTTGATGTTTTTGAATCAAAACTATCCTGTAGGCATACCGATTTATAATTTATAAGTTCTGTAAAGCTGGTTATAAATTAATCTGGTTTAATTTCTATTTTCATAGTCGTTGAACGCTGTATATAATGGTTATATATTATTCATTCTTACTTCTCGAAAATATATTTATAACCATTGACTTCATAACTTAATAATAAATTGTTAAGTATAAAGTTTGTTGCTGATAAATTTATACTATTATACATATGGATTTTATAACTTTTAATTTTTTATATTGCTTATAGAATCTGTCAATTATTACAATTTAGGTTTTTCGGATATTTAAATTCTGAGATATTTAAAATATATAGGTACAATTTTTCTGCATATTTACGCTATTATACTTACTTCAAAGTACCTCTATATATATTTATATTATGAACATGATAGTCATTAGGTTTTTTATACACAGTAAATATGGTATGGGTTGTTAAGTTTATAATTAATCCCTTTATAACATTAATTTTCAAAATTAAAATTAAAAGCAATGTTTATTAAAATAAAGAGATAGTAAATTGATTGAAAGATATTTAATTCATAGTTTAGTTAGTACCATAAATTAACAATGATTAATTATTTCTTTGAAACTAAACAATTTGCTTTTAATTTTTAATTAACATAATATATAAAATAAAATTATCTAATTAACTATTATATAAATTATTAAAGAAATCAAAATTAGTTAATTAATACTTAAATTATTAATCTACATGCTATTATTATCTGTTTTAAAATATAAATATGTTGAAAAATATAATTGAATGGACGTATATAAACAAAATCTTACTATGACTTTATTAATTCTCCTGAACGGATTGCGTTTGGTAGACCTCCGGTGTGGTGCATTAAAAGATAATAAATATGAGTCATTTGAATTGTGTTGGTTTTTTTTCCACTCTTCGATCTTTTTATCCACTTGAGCTTTATATTGTGCCATATCTTCCATGACACGGCGGTTGAGCGTATCATATAGCCTTATAATATGTAATATCAGCCAACTAAGTCAAATAAACAACTTTTTACTTCCTGGCAATATTATACATAGACATATACCTAGTCAATTATTATAAATGTACATTAAGACAATATTTTTACAATATCATTATATTATTTATTAAGTATTATAACGTTATACTACACAACTTATATTTTTTCTTAATTGAGATAAATTTCAAGTAATATATTATAATTTATAAGATATTTAAAATTTAATTATTTATTTAATTTTAATGCATTCAAAAATTTACCTAAATCCGCTTTCAATGCTTGGATCAATAAAAGCAGAACTACAATAATTAATAGGTGCCATATGGATAGCAGTACATGTTTCTACAAGTGTTGGACACTTATTTGTATTCACTACAGTTTCTACATTTAGTCGATCTACTATATCCAACTCATCTAGAGCCCCTGGTTTGTCCTGCTTATTAGCAAATCTAATAAAATAGAATTTTTAATTAAATTATTAAAGTCAGTCTTTTTTAATCTTACAATAGAACTGGTTTTCCAGCAATATTTTCATGCTCAAGTAAATTATGAAAAACTTCTTTGCATTCATCCAACCGGCTAAGATCCGCCGAATCCACCACAAATATTACACCGTGTACCTAATAATCGTCATTCAAATTAGTACACATAACTTATATAGTGATAATTAAAAAGTAATTAATTATAATACATTACATCAGCAAAGTACTGCTTCCATATATCTCTGATCTGTTTGTGACCACCTAAATCGTAAATAGTTATAGCGTTGTCATGATAATTAAACTTGGAAGACGAAAACCCAACAGTAGGAAGAATATTTTTTTGCTTTTCTAAAAGACAGTTATTTAAATTTATATTCATAAATAATTGTAAGCTATATAATATATAATTGTTAATTTAAGATTACCTTTCATAATACTTTTAACGGTACAAGTCTTTCCAGCTTTGTCCAAACCAACCAGGAGCACAGTAATTTTTCTAATATATTACATAAAAAAATCACAAACAATTACTTTTAGAACTATATATAAGTAAGAAATTATAAAATAATAATTTGCATACACACATTAAGTTATATATATGTACAACTGTACATAAAAGTTTAGTCTACCGAGCAACAAAAATATTTAATAATTTATTTTGATAAAATGAACATTTTGGTTTTAAGATGGTTTATGTAGTAATTTATAGTTGAAATAATAAATTATTTGATTTAATATGTGCTTGAAATAGTAATAAATCTGAAATCACTGTACTAATGATTAGTTCAAATTCAAAAATAAACTACCTGCATTCACTTAATACATAGTGTATCAAATTCATAGTCACATTGTCTATATGGGTAATATATTAATGTTTACTTAATTCAATCTGTATTAGTTTCTGAACGGAGTAATAAATAATATTTTTATGATGGTTAGGTATTTTTTTTTTAAATTAAAATTAAAAATTATTTTGTCTGACGTCATTTTTAGTTTTTAAATAGTAAGTATATTACAACATTTAACTTTGAAGGTGATATTCGTTAGTATAAATTAGATCAAACCAATACTTCAAAAACTCTCAGTATTTTTAAAAATAAGCCAAAAAAATTAAAAAAAGTTATAGTTTTTTTTTGTATTTCAAAAATTAATTACTGTACACACTTGAAATTTTCATAAAATATTTTTACTAACATTTTTTAAATATGATATAATTTTCCAAATATTTTGATTGTTTTTCATCTATTTAACTTGAAGAGAAATCTGAAATTTTTGACTTTTTTCGATTTATGTTGATGAAATATTTTTTTTATCATAAAACTTGAAAATTTATAAATTATCTATTTTATGAATATTTAACTTAGAAAATGTAATGGAAGATTTTTATAAGTAGTTATAACTATAGAATTGGCAAATAAATTAATGGACGTAGGATATTGTATAATTTTTGGTTTAAATAAAACAGCGATCATAAAAGAGATTTTTCAACTTATGAAACAATTTATTTTCTTGACGTTTAAGGAAAAGGTTATAACATTTTTTAACAATTAAGGATTTTATAAGATAAACTAAAAGTTAGAAGGAATTACAATATTTTGTACTAAATTGTAAGAAATTAATGAACAAAAACAACCTTCTATGTGTTTTTAAAGTTTTTAGTCAAAATCTTATTAGAAACTAGAATTATGTTTATAATGTTAAAGGTTTATTCTCGGGGTTATCTTATATTATAAATATTTATATAGATTCTAAAAGGATTATATTTTATTAAAGATTCTTTTATGTTTAAAATTGTGTTCAGTTATATATTATATTATATTTAATATAACTTGCTGTTAATGTGAATTATTTTGGTTAATTTTAACATTATTTCATATAAAAGCAGCTATTGGGTTACGGTATCATTAATTATTTTAGTTCATAAACAAATAATCTAAAATATGAATATGATAGTACATTAACTATTCTGGATTGAAATTAAAGGGTTTGCTGCAATAACCAGATAACTCCATTTCATTAATTTTACTCAAAAAAAGTCCTGAAAATTTTTATTATTTTGATTTTTTTTTTTAATTTATAACATGGAATATAATAATTCTATAACTTAGAATAAAAACAATAATTTAAATTTTAAAATCATTAATAATTGTAGATACTCAAGATATTATTTTATCGGACATAATAATCAATACCAATAGATATGTAAACAGTTTAGTTCTATAACTCTGACCCGAAATATATTTGATTTGCATTTATATCGAATAAACAAATATGGCATTGAAATTTTAATTTTGAATAAAACCATAATTTATCTGTCATTCATTCGGGGCCATAACACGGACACTAATCGAATCCTAATCAATTTTATATTAAACGCCTTATCATTATGCAATATCGTTACCTGTGTTGCCGTTGGTCTGCGTTCGCACAGTCTATACATTTAAACCGCAATACGTTGCCCATAACCACGACAGCTGTCAAAACATGTTTATTTTTTTACCCAGATACTTTGGATATTTTATTTTTTGCCATCATAAAACAACACTTGAAGAACTAAATACGAATTTTCACGTTGGCATAAAATAATAATTTTGAGCGCGGTTCACGGTCTGGTCGACGACAACAAACGGTAACCGCGGCAACGGGGTCGGCGGCGGAGGTTGGGACCGTGGTTCGTCCGTTGTCGGTCACCAATACCATAATAATAAAATAATATTACCATAATATTACCATGCCTAATAATATAGCGTATAGCGTACGATAATAATATTGATGTTACGCCGAACGAAAACTATCGTGCACGTCCGCCGGCAGCGGATGGACGGCCGTACCACCGGTTGCCCGCACTGGTACCGGTACGGCTGGTTGGTCCCATTTCCTAGTCGGTCACGTAAAGTGGTTACGTGACGGCCCGCGGCCGCGGCTCATCGCGTGCCCTTTATCGCAGCCATATTCACCTCCAACGAGATCACCGCGTACCAGGGGCTCAGCCGACCGGCCGCGCTGTGGCACTCGTTCAACGGTATTGTTTGCGTCATTTATATGGTTGGGAGGTGATGTGGGGGCGTTGTCGTGTACTGGTATGACGGTTGCGGTATACTCTTCGATATAATATCATATCGTTCGCTGATACAACTCGTTTTTGTTTACTTATTCATCTCTGTCCGTACGATCAGTCTTATAGCAAAATCCAAACTGTGGCGTTTAGGTTAATACGAGAATTCAAACCTTCAAACACTCATTATTTAATCTAAGAATGTTTTCATGATTATTTCATAATATTGAGGTACAATATTATTTATAGTACGATAATGGTATAATCCTTCGTTAAGCAGTATTTTACAAAAAATTATACGATAGAAAATCTAAAAAATATTATCCTCTCTAAATTTGGCAATGGGTGCAAGAATTATAATATTTACCTTAGATGTCACAAATTTTATCTTTTGTAGTGGAATTTTACTTATTTAGAAAGACGGAGACAGTGTACTGTGTACAGTGTACACGAATATCAACTATCAAGTAACTATTAAATGACCGTGTATCCGTTGTAAAGACTTAATTGATATGTGACAAGAGTACAAAGCATTAAGCAACACCAGATAATTTTATTATTATGTATTTGAGGGTATATGCGCCTTCTATCAACGAGAAAATTATATCACGTACATACGAATATTAATATTATTTGGTAAGAAAACCGTCTGGACTACTAAGAAAGCAAAAACTGTGCTCGGTAGTCTAAAATAATATTATTGTATATCATATTATTAATACGATACCGTTCCGTTTCTTTTGCGCAATGATATTGATCAACGTCTTTTGTTCGATGTGTGTGTGCGCCTCCACTCGAGTGCGCGAGTGTGTGAGAGATGTTTCGTTATGGCGTTTAATTTATCGTAGTCGTGGTGTCAGAGTTAAGTTACTTACAGTTTTTTAACACTACATAGTTTCATAACCTGTTTTAATGGTTTTTACTTTTTAGAACTGAAAATTAATGTAGAGTCGTACATTATATTTGCATATGATACTGCAGGAAATTTATGGTCAACATTTGAAATACACTCAAAGATGACAAACTATAATGAATATCAAACTAACGTTTTTTGTGTTCCAATGGTTATGTTTGATTTATCTATCTATCTATTCATAAAAAATTAAAAGTTTTTTTTTTATCCTTTACTTATAATTGATTCAAAACCACTCTGGACTGTATTCAATAAAAGTCATATCAATAGATTTCTCGAGACTCGTGGAGGGCTTGTATAGCCTTGTATTTCAACCCCTATAGGTCGTTCACATATGAATTTTGTTTTAGCTTACAAAAATCAAAAATGTTTTGCCTATATATAGGGTTACCATTGGTTACAGATACAATAAAATGGTTATTACGATTGGATTTAACGAAGAATATTACGTATGAATGTAAAATTACGTGACAACTATAATAATATATACGAACCAAAATGTGCATAGGTAGTTGAAGTTAATATGCCAAAAAAATCTCAAAAGATTAAATAAGAAAAGTTTAGAATGATTAGATAATAGATTGAACTATAATTATTTTGTTGGTTGAGACTACTTTCTATTGAAAATATTAAAATCATAACCGTATATTTGTTATTTCTGCTTACAAACATTGGTTACACGTATGAAAAATAAGTTACTATTATTACTAGAGCGCAGATTTCTATGCAATTGCATATTTTTTTCCCTTTTACTTTTCTGGATTTTTGTCAGTTATCTTCACGAATCATAAGAATTTGAATCTAATGGTAAAATTTTATTTGTATACATTGCTATATATTTTTACTGAATTCGAAATATATTGTATATTAAAACGAAAATTTTTTATGTATTTAGTTTATTTATAAGTAATTATTAATTAATTTATGTATGTTGTTTAATTTGTAAATTGTATATAAATAAAAAAAAATTTTCTTGCATATTTATTGCATATTTTTATGATTTTTACTGCATAGTATATTATATGGTATATTTCGATACTTTTTAGTGCATAAAAATCTGTGCTCTACTTATTACTATTTATTTTAGACGGATTGCAGCCCATTTCGATTACACTATACCCTGACGTCCCGGACAACGCCCGGTAATATGACTAGTATTTTATATTTATGTATATTTCGGTTTGTCTTCTCGGATCAATAGTTTTTCCCGTTTTTATGTTTCGTCTGTAGGTGAATCCACATATCCCGATTTCCAGTGCCGCACACCATTATAATACCATACGCATTTGGCGGCTATCCAAAAACCTTGAGTCGTTTTTGAAAAAATAACAACAACTGCCCGTGTTTTATTACATAATTGTAGTTGTGGAATAATATTTTTAGTGTACTGTCATCGTAAATTTTATCTATTGCAGTAAGTTTCCCTTCCGACGCCGCATAACGTTGTTCTATATAGAAAACACCGTGTACCTAATTTGTATTGTGCGCCGGTTAACAAATAAAATTGTTTTGCCATGCCGATAACGGCAACGACAACAATTAATAACGACCGCCCGCAATATGTACATTAATATAATTAATAGTTGGTACGCACCAATAATATTCGTGTCAGCAGTTAACGCGTTATGCCGAACAGGAGCGCCGCGCCGCCGCGAGCGTTTCCGTCGAGGTGTTCGTGTAGCGTGACGATGTGGGTCGTCTCGGCGGGTCACACTTGGCTGAAGAAATGCGAGCGATTGTACCAGGGTATCAGTCGGCCGCAGCGATTGCCAGGCGTGGCGCTCGGCGCGCCAGCCGCGAGAGTGGACGGCGGCGGCGGCGGACGGCTGTTATGATAATAATAATAACAATAATACAATACAATCACACTTCGATATATATAGTCGTCAGAATGCGGCGGCGGCGAACTGGTCGAATTTTTTCACCCGGTTACCGTATTTACCACGGTTTTCGGGAAATTGGAATCGTCATTTTCGTGCGTTTTCCGCAATTTTTTTAAACCCGCTAACAGGAGCCCATGCGGCAGACCCGCTTCGGTCGGTGGCGGTGGCCAGGCCGGCGTCGGCGCGCCCGGGAAAGCCAGCCAGCCACCCAGCGACACAGACCCACCGCTCGTATCGCCACCGTCTCTACACCGACGACCGCGGTTTCCCGGGCCACGCGATGTTGCGAGATTTCCCGTAGTAGTATTTCACACACACACACACACACACAACACACCCGAAAAGAATAACTTAACGCGACACCGCCGACACCACGTCTTCTTCGTGTTACGAAATGATATTAAGGATAGTTGAGTTATAGTGTTATGGATATGATAACTATTATCTGTCGGTGTTACTGTTGTCCAATGGCTCAAAGAGGTACATTTGAACCATTGCAATCAGAAAAAAATGAGTAGGTGGGGGGTATTCTGTTGGTTGTGGCTGGGTTGGTAATAAACCCAATTAATTGTTTTATTATCTGCACATTAAACAGTTATTGACAGTTGATTGGATTGAGTATAAAAATCAATCCAGTAAGTTATAGCAAAACAGTAAAATACAATAAATACTTTAAATATTTTTTAGGTTGGTAGTGCAACTAATAAACACCCAAGTCTAAGACAAATAAATCTCGATGTCGCCACTGCAGCCGTCTAGTTTTATCTCATTGGTCGTATCTTTTGTATATTATTATTTATATGTGCAGCGCGAAATGTGGTGTTAAATTCGATTCCATTTATTACGCAAAAAATGTATACGTATTAAAAGCGTCAGCACCGAGTCGAGTAGTAGTAGTCGACTATATATCATAAATCATAATATCATATTATTTTTATTATTACGGACTGTAGAGAGAAAAGATAAACCAATGTGATTTAAAAATCTACATAATATTTTGTTTTTGTTGCCACACTATACTTGCATATTTGCATACTATAGATATGAAACAAAAATATTATCTATATAATATAATATATCAGATTACAAACATTTTACTTAGTATAAAAAATCATAATAAGTCGTTTACTTTTGTTGAATATAAAAACCTAATAATATAGTGTATTTACTTTGGTTATACAGACATTTAGTACTTATATATTACACACAATGTGCTTCTAGGACTAGACCCCAGATGGTATGTTTATTCATAAAAACACTACACACCGGGTATTTGAATACCGCAATCATGGGCGTCCCTAGGGGGGAAAGACTTGCCCCATTCCTAGAATTTTAAATTTGTTACCCAATTGTAATAATAACGAAATATAATAATGTTTTATAAATAAAATGTATAATAACAATGTCTAATTATTGTAATAATGTTAAAACATAATAATGTACTATAAATAAAATGTATAAAAAAAGTCTTCATTTAAATAATTTTGCCCCCCATCCTAAAAAAATGTCTAGGGACGCCTATGGGCTATGGCTGCAATGTTTTGACGTTAGATATTAGGGAGTAAATGTATAATGGAATAGGTTCAGAACAGTATACGATAACAAAAATTTAGAATTTGTTTTTCAACTTTATTTTTTATGTTTTTAATGTTATTGTATATTTGTATACTGTTTATATATATTTTATTTTTATAGGTATTAAGTAGTTGATACTATCTAATTGTGACTGTTTAATTGTATTTTTTAATTGTACGTTCGTTGTTATTATTGTAATTTGTAAATGTCAATTGGATAGACTGGATAGGTTATTATTTCTTTTTGAAGCCATA